GACCATAAAATATAACTAATATCTGCTAATAGATTGTTAGCCACCATTATATGCAAATACAAATCATCATCATAACCAGATATGAAGTTACAGTTCTCAGGTCTCAGTTTAATTTGAGTTAGAGTTATAGGTCGCAGAATAACAGCTACTAGCCTACTAGAAGACGGCCATTAGCTTTAGCTGGTTAGCTAACACTACACTTCTAGTTGTAAAACCACCAAAATACAGTGCAAATGTGCCTTAAAGAAAAGCACAAATCACCACGAACAAGCGTCAGTGATGCTGCAGGATGTTTTATAACCCCTCAGTAGAGTTAACTAGCTACACAACCCGCTCTCTAATCGGCTAGGCATTATTAATAGGCATGATTAATACATTAACCACGTTATTAAGATTACTTCGCTGGCTAGTCTTGCAAGCCAAATAACTAGGTAACCTATTTATACACAGACTTCGAAGATACTCTGTGGTTTGAGAAGTTTGGCTATCTAACTGATCCGCAGGTAGATAAAGCCATTTAACATCTTGGTACAGTATGAGCTAGCTGGTCCCGCTAGCTGATACAGGCTCCACTCCAAACGGCTCCCTGTTGGTGATTATAGTTCACTACACGACACCTAGAAACCCGTTATTTCATAGCCTATGTAGTGCCCTTAGAGGGAGACTAGACAGCCGTTTGGGATTTAGCCAAAGCCTGTACCACAAGTTTAAAGGATACAATTTAAAGCCCTTCAGAATCTCCTTTGCTCGGTCTTCGTCCGAAGACATGGCTTCGAAAAACAGTCCGCTTTCGTGAATAAAAAAAAACCCAAAACCTATTCGTCAGAATATGACAAAATATCCTAAGAAATGACAGTTTACCCAGCTGAATATATCACTTTTTTAACCAACAGCACTGCGTTAATCTGAACAGAGATATACTCAATCGTTCTTCTCAACCTACTGTAAATAGAGCCTGTATCTGTGATTGACAGCTAAACCACCCAACTGTTCTGCAAATTTATGAAGGCTCGTATAAATAATTGTCCAATGACAGCGAAGAGGCGGGATTAGAGGCGGGATGCGGTTGACAAGGGACGCGTCACCGGTGGCAACTGAAAGGTCCTTCGGATGCAAACTACGGTAACTCATGTAGGACAAATATTTCTCGCTAAAATGTTCGCATCTTAGACCTGGGCTCCTCAACCCCTGTGCTACAGGCACCATTTCATCTGCCCCAACACATCAGCACACCTGAGCCAAATTATGAAGGGCTTGAAGGGCTGGGTCAGATGTGTTTAGATTCTGCAGGACAGTGGGCCTCCAGGACTGGTGCTGAGAACCCATGATTTAATATATCCATTTAACACGGCCATGAAATGTTTTGAATTTTTGGTCATACTTGTATAGTTGACATATTTCCTGGTCTGGCAGAAGTATACAGGTATGATTACTGGAGTGCTGTCAGATAGTTTGACCCTCCTGGACTATTCCTAGTAAATCTTATGGCTACTGTGAAGACACATATTTCATTAAGCATAGCTGTTATGTGTTTCCAGCTAACAGTGTGCTGTCAACAGAAATTGACCACTGATTACGAGCTGGATTATGATCAACACAAATTGTGCATGTAAAGAAATGAGTTATAGTGGATAATTGTACACGTACAAGGTGTACTAACAATGTAGGAGTGTGCAGTAAAGTAGCCATTAAGTGTAGACAGTGTTTAAACCCTAAAAACACTGCTGCAGCTGATACACTCATACCAGTGCCACACACACTACCATGTCACTGAGAATAAACCACCAAGAGGTGAGACCCTTGAGCAAGGCACCGAACCCCCAACTGCTCCCCGGGCGCCTCAGCAAAAAAGGCTGCCCACTGCTCCGGGTGTGTGTTCACAGTGTGTGTGTGTGTTCACTACTGTGTGTGTGCACTTGGATGGGTTAAATGCAGAGCACAAATTCCGAGTATGGGTCACCATACTTGGCCACACGTCACTTCACTTCACTTCAATATCTGTTCCTGTGTGATCCTGTGGTGGCAAATTAATTAATTAATTACTTAATTTATGAACTACGAGACAAGAATATCAATGGTGTGGTGAATAAATGCTTCTAGGGTTTATGCAGCTACAGTATGGTATTAGAAAAAGGATGCGTAAAGTGTGTGTCTGCTGTGGGCTTGTACACTTGTCGTTTGTACATTTGTGAAATAGGATGTACACCGACAATTATATAATATGGCATACTAATTATCACAAAAGTGGTTAATGATAAAGCAAGTAAAATTGATCATCTATCAGGGTAGTTAGCAAATTTTAGCAACCTTGATAGGCTAATATTACCTAACTTTGTTGCATATCAAAACTTAGGATGACAAAATAATGGACAAATTGAAAAATGTAAAACAAAGCCAGATGAGGTTCATTTGCTGCTTCAGATAATGCTTTTGATGACTAGTTTTACAGTAAACTTAATGATACTGTGTGTTTTACTGTATTACAACAGCAGTGTTAAAGTAAGGTTCTTTGATACTGTATATATTTTCCCAGAATCCCAGGTGGGCTACAGTATTAAACTGTAAAACAGACAATTTATTATACTGTTTGATCATTAAGTATTTTACAGTAGACATAAATTCCTTACAGTGAATGTTACCATGACCTGTAATTACACAATATGTCCACAGAAGGGAGCTAGGCTATAAGGGAAGAAAGACTGCTTCATACTGCTCATCAAGCCCTTACATTTTCATCAGGTTGTGGTAAGCGTTGACATGTTCACAGGGTTATCATATTCATAATTAGCTTTCTGAAGAAAATCAGATGCACAAACCAACAGCTGCACCTTATAGTACAATGTCAATAGGTTGCACATCTAACATCATTTGGCATAAACCAGAATGTCATTTGGCATAAACCATCTGAGGTTGCCTTTTGGGCTTCATGTTCAGGCAAAACACATGGTGACAGCTGTAGGGTGCATAGGGCCAAATCTGTGTGACTTGTTCAGTGAGTCTGATGGAACACTGGGACACTTTGACTTTATAGTAGCAACCCTTTAACTTTAGTGATGTAATAACATTGCTGTAACATTTTATTATTTGATTTGAAACTACGTTTTTTTAAGTACAGGTTCTCATCATCCTATGCTTAATTCATCTAGCCACATATTTGTCTTTTAAGCTGAAGTGTGTGTATTTTTCTAGACATTTTTCTGAAACCTTGAGATGAAGATATGAGCCTGAGCATACTTTTCTTGCAACTTTGAAAAAGAAAAGAGTCCACTTTTGTTAAAAGCTGAATAACAAGACACCTGGGTGTTAACTAGTTCCAGCTTAGTTTATCACCTGCTATTTGTTGACATCAGAAACACAGTATAAAAAGTGCTGTTAGACAAAGACAGTGCTTGAGAATAAGACTGGTTTGCTTGTATGGTTTCATTGTTTTATTTATTTGTGGTAAAATAAGAAGAAAAAATTCACCACAACTGACCTCAGTGTGATGAAAAATGACATGAGTGTTGAAGACTAGGTTGTGTTACCATGCAAGTTAGATGACTTGGCCGTAAGTAGTATGGTGTCAGTTTGGTGACAGTTGTGACAAATGGATGGAAGTGCACATAAGCTTTATTAAATAAGCAATTAACAAACAGACACAGGCAAGAAACAAAAACTATAAAAACTATAACAAAGGACTAGACCACAGCAAGGCCAGGGTAGGGTAGGGTAGGAAAACCCAACATAACTCCAAGCCAGTCACAATGCAACCATAACAACATACCAGTAAAGCTCAGTGACTAAAGAGGAGAAAACACAGAACTTATATAGGGCAACTAATCAGGGGAACACAAAACAGGTGTGCATTTTGAAATTGATTTTAAATTTGCCAGCCACACTGGCACCTTTTTATAGGTAGGTGTTTATTTCCTAATCCAAAGCTCACTTACTTAAAAAACAACATAAATAATGTCAATTCGAATCTAACTGATTCTGAACTTGGTATCACTTTACCTTGGTCAATGCATAGACAATTTACCTAACAGCATGGTTTTGGGAGGAAACTGTAGAACCCGGAGGAAACCCACACAGACACACTAACTCAAGCTCAGGATCAAACTGTGGACCTTGGAGCTGTGAGACAACAACTTTTGCCATGTTCAAAATAAGTGATGCAACATAACTCTAATTAAAATAAAACTTAGACCAATAAATGAATAAATTTATTTATTTACAATAAATAAATCCATGTTGTGTTTTTATGCCTATGTGTAAAAATGCACTAGTTACCCGAATTGCCAAGAAATTTAAATCGACCGTTATCTACATTTGTGTATAGAGTCTGCAAAAAAAGTTTGCATTTGTAAATAATGAACTTCTTTGAGTAATGGCCTTAATACATTGGCAAGATTAGTGGGTTGGAATGTATTTGTCCAGTTTTCAGTGTGAGCTGTGGCAACCACGAAATCCTGCAGCTCTTTCAAACCTTTATCTGTTTCATCACAACCGTTCTTCTTAGCATGTTTCTTTTAGATACAAATGAATCAGCCTGTTGTCATTAGAATGACATTACTGGAGGAAAGTCATTTGTAATACTGAAGAGACTTAACCAGCTATGGAATGTGTGAAACAAAAAATAGAGAAAAAACTGTATTGATGTCCAGCTGTTAGATAAAATAAGGTGGACGTAAGAGGTTCAGATGTTAGATGAACCTTGACAAAGAACTGGTCAGTGTTCTAGTCTTAGATTGGATTTAACATGAATATAGAGATTATTCTTCTAATCTCATACTATTCATGAGATACTGTTAGTCACATACCATGCATTTTAAATTTATAATTCATTAAGTTATATTCTTTAGTCTAATGTGTAATGCAAAATTTGTTTAGTGCAAGGTTATATCACTTCTTGGCCTTTTGGCTAAGATCAAGTGTAGTATCCATATATTAAACTGATTTTTGGAACAGGGCATCGACCTGTTATTGCAGTACTTTCAAGCTTGGTGCACCCCCTTTTGTGGCCAATAGTGGCTCAGTGGTTAAAGCTGTGAGTTCCTGCTCAGAAAGTTGGGGGTTCAAGCCACCACTGCTGGGCCCTTGAGCAAGGTCCTTAATTCTCTGTGCTCCAGGGTATCATGGAGCCATATCATGATTGGCCCTGTGCTCTGACCCCAACTTCCTAACAGGCTGGGATATGTGAAGAAAATAATTTTGCTATACTATAATGTATATGTGACAAATAAAGGCTTTCTTCTTCTTATAAAACTGATCAGTTTATTTTCTGATAGAAGATCTAAATACATTTCTGGATAAATGATAACTTTACTGAAACACAAAAAAATCCAGTGTCATTGAACAACCCAAAAATAAATTCTAGCTATCTGTTAAACTTCCTAATCGATGTGTTGGAAGCATGGCAACAGCTCAATGGATCTCACTGTGTTAGTTGTAGTAAACAATGCAAAACAGTATACAGAAATACAGCGAGTCCTGATATTTACTCCATAAAAACATGTTGTATTCAACTCTGTGCTGAGATTATTGTGCATTATTGTACAGCTTGTGCGTGAACAGTGATTTTTGCCTATCCTATATTTATACAATTCCCATGTGTCAATTTGCCAGCCAAATCCATAGCAAGTTCTATTAAAATTATGCATGAAAACATGGAGCTAACCATTTCATGCAAAACATTTAATGAATTAAGAGAAAAATGAATGAAGTAAGGAATGGTATAATGAATGAATGAAGGAAGGACGGAATGAAGTGGATTTTTAAAAGGCACAGCACTTCTCTTTAGTGCAAGGGGAAATTTTGAAGACGCTAAAACTGCAAATAAACAGATATTTGCAATTTACAATATCTGCAAAAGGCCTTGTTTAATAAGAGTTCAGAAGTTGGTGACAGCAGAAAATGAAAATGCAGTGTAAGGTTTTTTTTAATCACATCTATTTTTAGTCTTTTCATGTGAGAAAGAGACTCAGATGAAAGCTATTAGAGATGAATTACTACAGACCCATGCTGAGTTCCCTACACAGCTATTTTTTTTTTAATCTCCATGTAAAATAAACAGCAAGCACTGTGTGAGGATAGTTTAAAAATGCCATAATTATAGCAGGTTTATATTTTAGTGTATTTTATGCACTAGAGGACAAAATGCCATTATACTATCTACATCTTTCATTATTTATTAGACAAATTGCAGCATCCTGCGTTTCACTGTGTGTCCACATTAGCCAGAGAAGACATTACAAAACACATATTGCATTATGCTTTAGACAAATGTAATAGGATTTTATTATGTCTCTGCAGTATCTGTCATAGTGTTATAAACATAATGAAGCTTTTTATTAGATTAGGCAAAGTAATATCTTATCTAAAACCATCTTTAATTTAGCAGTTTGGGGGCAGCAGTTTTCTGTAAATTCAAAATTCAAGGACAGCCAGAGAGCCAATGTTTGGCCCTTGAACTACAAAAAAGATGAATACAGTGATCATTTCCTTAGAATTACTATACTGTATATGTATATACTGTATGTATACATACAAAAAAAGCATAAAAGAATCAGGAGACAAAAGAAAAAATTTACCATATAGAATATCTAGTCAGTGGTTTGCTTCAGGCTACAGTTTTAGAAAATGCAATAAATGCATGGGCTATAACAAAGTTTGCCTCTACAGAATGCATTTCTTCTTGAGTACAGAGATATTACAAGTTTTTAAAATTTCTTCATCACTTCCTCATGTATATCTATTTGGATGTTCAGGGCAGGGCAGGGGATTTAACTGCTGCTGTGTCTCATCAGCTATGCTTTCAGCACTCACGTCACTCTGTGGCCCCTATTAAAAGTTAAATGTGCATTTTAGCCTGCCTAGTTTATACCAAGTCTGCAAAAGTTTCTAACGTCTGCACACAATTTCAGGTATCTATTTCTGTCACTTTTACAGAGACATAATTACCTAAATATTCCTTTATCGCTGAAATCTCTCAGTACCTAGCAGAGAGGATTCAAAAATTGCCTCTAATGTTATTTGGAAATGGAGCTGCAGAGGTAATGTACTGTGTGTGTGTGTGTGTGTGAGAGAGAGAGAGAGAGACTGACAGACAGGCAGAGAGAGAAAGAAAGTGTCATGCCTTGGCTGAACAAGAGGGGGAGTAAGAAAGTGGGAAATTAAGTAAAACTCATTAAACAGGGTGTTGCAGCTGGAAGATAAGCAGACTGTGACAGCTCTATTAAACAGCTCGTTACCTGGAGTTATCGAGCGGCAAAGACGAGGAACACTAACTACAGCTAGAGCCTAAAAAAGAGAGAACAGATGTCTGTGGTGGAGTTGAACAACAGGCAAAACATATTTACTGGAAAAAGCAGTGAAACTATTAATCTAAAAGGTTTTGAAATGGCATTTGTTTATATCAGATTTATTTTCATTGTTTTCAATTTCCAGACTTTAGATAACTACTGTATTTTCTAAACTGATTCTTGGGCCCACCCCATTTTTGCTTCCTAGCTCCCACAACAGCTGAAATGAATTCAGTGTTCTTGGTGGTTTGGCTGGTATCTGGGAGAGAATAAACATCTGGTCTCTCTGCTAGGTTTGGAAATTTGGGATTAGTCTTTTATAACCTCACCAAAACATTGAGGCTTCATTCTACAGTATATTACACAGTAGATCTGACCCAACTTCTTCATTATAGATGGCATCCAATCTGTGTACACCGATGAGCACATTCATTTATCGACAATTAGAAAAACTGCCATTGTCCCTTCCTGATTATTTTCTGTTGTCTCCAGCTCCTTCCCATGATTCCTCTTGGCCATTAGCTGCACCTGTGCCTAGCTTGCTTAATCTATTTAATTGTAATTAGTCTCATTTCTAATTGCTCAGTGTTTCTATGTGATGTTTTGCATGTGTCTGGCTGAATACTTTGTTCCTTGGGTCCTAGTTCATTGTTCTCCTGGTGTAGGTGTATAATGTGTCCATAAAGGGCCAGTGTTCAGACCCAGGTTCAACCAAGCAGAAGCCCAGCTGATTCAACTTGGTTTTCCAATCTTTGTTTTCAAACAACTAATGCGTTGTGTCAGGTGTGCTCCTGTAGTAATGTTGGCTATTTGTGGATAAACCTGGACACAGCTAGTGTCTACCTTTTCTTATTCAAGATCATAATATGGCTTCTGTTTGTGACCTGGCTTTGCCTTGACCCTTACATTGTCCCTTGATTATGATTTTTGGAAGAAAAAAAAAACAACACACTTACATCTGACCACTACAATGAAGAATGAACCCCAAGAATCAAAATATTCAAACAATATCTTATATAGTCCCCAAGAGACTATATTTTTCTCCCTGCAAATGTTAATCAGCTTTATTAAACACTCACAATGAAAATCAGCACAAGTGAAAACATTATTAAAGAGATCAACTATTTCTACGACAGCTTTCTTTATTTTACAAAACAAAAAACAAGTATTGTATTTCAGTAACCTTAACAATCAAACTATGTGCAATTTAGATCTAAAAGATTTTGATTATATAGTAAGATAGAATACAGTTATTTCTTTTGGACTGGGTTATGGCTAACAATCAACATATCAACTGTACATTGCAAAAGACAGTAATGTACAGTAGCTAGACTACACTTCTGAACCTAAAAATAGCTCATAGTGAATATGTAATAATTATAGTTAGCAGTCTACATTTTCAATACATAGAGACCAAGAAACTATAATGAACTGTGTTATTCAAGCTCAACTGCATCTGTCAGTTTTACTCTTGAATGTGAGTTATATCACCATTTGGTAGTCAGCTGTTGCTAAATAGAAAATAATGCTTCTCTCCATGAAACAGACATGATGATTTTTTCTAAAGAACTATTTTTGTCTTTTTCACTCATGCAAATCCCTGCCTGAGTGAGTTTTATAATTATTTCTTTTTTTAACCAGCAGCTCCTCAAATTCCATTATGGTGGCTGTGATCCTACAAATCTCATTTCCTTCTTTTTCTTTGCACTGTGTAAATTCTCTGTGACATTTTTGATCAAGTGGGTGTTTCATTTAACTCTTCACATGACTTTCCAGACAATAAAAAAGGAACAATTATATCGTAATGCTGTACCTACTGTACACCTTATATATACATGGTTTATTTTTTATCTAGCACATCTTCTACACTTTTTCTCAAGGCTTTACAGTGGACATAGTGTGCATCCTGTATTGCTGTTTTTCTTAGATTATTATTGTTATTATGAATCTGGGTCCTTTCAGTTGGCCAGCTCACTCTGCTGGTTATAATTCAGGTTTGTTGTTGTTCGGTAATGGTGAAAATGGAAATAATGGTTTTGAAAGCAAAACTAAAAGAAAACAAAACTAAAAATAACTCTGAAAGGAGGATAGGTAATGGAGGGTCCCATGCTTCACATGCTCCTGAGTTCAATAGGCAGGCGAATAGGACTCACTCTCCTCTGTGAAGCACAGCTAATGCTCTGTACTAGACCAACCTGGACATTACAGACTTTTTACCACATAATATTATACATAAATCTTAGTTCTCCTTTATATTATTTACATTATTCAAATAATCCTTATTTTTCATTTAACTTGCACATCTAACAAAATTTCATATCCTCATTGTCAAGAAATGTTGCATTATATAGGGCATTTTCTCATCTCTTACCATCAATTGCATCATCTTTAAAAACTGATGGACACAATTCTGCTTATATGATACAAAGGCTTATTGGACATCACAATCCAAGCAAAGTTTTTCTGTCCATCTAAATCATGGTTTTTGATGAGAAGTAAGAGGATAGGTGTGTGCTGATATACCAGTATGGTGATATATACTGATCTGGACATCTTAAATGGTTATACTGTTAATGTTATTCTATACTGGTATGATTATGTCACCAAAGGATTATTATGTCCAGATACATCACTTCACTTAAAACAGACCATGGGTTTCATTTATCAGTTGTGCGTACGCATAGTTTTGTGCGTAAACTGTACATAAATATAATTTATCAATTTATTCTTGTGCATGAGGATGTTTATATATTTAGAAATACTCCTGACCATGCATATGCAGAAAGCCCTAGTGGAACATAGGTAATTGCATGTAAACTGATTATGAGGAAATGCCATCCCACCTGTTGTTAATCATGTCAGCAATATTAACCGTAGTTGTTGATTACAGTGCTCACAACAAGCATATTCAAAGTTTGACTGGAATAATGCTTTGCTTGAAGATTTGGCACACGCAGCTTTGGGGGCATTTCTTTATATCAGTGTGTGTGGCCATGCACAAGCAGAGCAATTTAGAATGTGTAGGATTTATAGATATCCATTGAGTACAGCTGTGTGTGCACATGTGTGATAAACGCCAATTGTGTACTGGGTGTTCTGAAGCACAGAACCTTAGATCCAGTGTTCTCGGGAAAGGCTGCAGATCCTAACCGGGATCTGCAGCGACTCTAACCAGGATAAAGTGCTTACTGAAATAAATGAATGAATGTACACCTGTCATTAACTGAAATGAGACAGGAGAAAGCTGTGGCAACATGGGTGATTAACATGTATAATTCAATATATGAGTCTTTCAACTCAATGCATCATTTCACGTGTTCTCCATTCTAGATTTATTGGCGTTGGCAACACTGACAGAATGGGAACCATAAGCAAAACATGTACTGTGACGCACTGAAGATGCCTCATGCAGTACAATCCATTTACTGTCTGCTGTGTTTTGGAAATGTTTTATGTCCGACCACCTGCTGTTCCTGTCTTTGCTCCTGGCAGGACATAACAGAGACAGATGCACAGTGCCAGTGTGAATTACAGCCAAGGCTTTGGACATCTTCATCAGCACTCTGTGTGTTTTCTGTGTGGAGGCCATGCAATATAATAATGGCCTCGCATGTTTTTATCCTGAGCAGGGCAGTAGTGATTTATCAGCAGTATGTTTCCGAACATTGCTCAGCTAACCGAAGAGGCCCGAGCCCGACTTCTGAATCCTGTGTTTCAATTTTTTTTTTTTTTTCATTTTCAAAGCACAATCATGCACAAGAGGAAAGAAAATAAATGGGATTGCGTAAATGAGTGTTAAGTAGATTGTCTGTAAAAGGTCAAAAAAGTGAAGAGAGAGTTGAGTGAGTGCCAGGAGTGCACAGCTGTCTCTCCCCAGCTCTAAGTAGCAGGCTGATAAAGGTCACAGAGGAGCCACTGTGAAAAGACGTCGACCATCAGTGTCATTCTTTTCTCTTAGACACTGTAGATGTTACGGTAATCACCATGTTTTAATGAATTTAGGGAAAATAATCCACAGTTAAAAGGTCTGAGTCTATTACTAGGAACTGTTTTGATCAGATATCGGACACTGTTAGAAAGTCAACTTACTATTCAGAAGTGAATAGATTAAGTCTGAGACAAGTCCACTTTTAGCTCATATGAATCTGAGATATTTGAATATCCAGTCCATACACCATTTCTTTATTTTTCAAGTTGTTGTGACATCCTATATTTTGATTAAATCATATCCTCTATACATTGTGTGTTATTGATCTAACTGCTTTCAGTAAGTAAGAACATTTTTAACATTTGATGAATGTTTATTCATGATGTAAAGGAATATAATTTTTGCAGAATTTTTTTAATAAAAGAGAAGACACATACTTTTGAACTCTACTGTAAGTCTGGAACTGTGTCAGGATGTTTAATTGGATTTATTTTAGAAATTGGATTATTTCAGCCATTTTAATTCCCAGATGAAGGAAATCATAATGTCAGGTTGCAAGAAAGGGCTGTTTGGTTGCTTAGGTTTTATGTAAATCTGTGTGAAGTAGGATTCAGTTTTAACGTGTAATACGGTAAACTATATGGAGATTAGGAGTGCTCGCAGTTTAACTACAGTGGTTGCTGGAAAGCTAAAGTGAAATTCTTATGAGCATGTTACTGTCTGTGCAGATCCATTGTGAGGAAAATGGTGTTTTGGGGAAATGCATTAAGCATGCATGGCAGTGTCTGTATGCTGGATTTACTTTCTGTCATCACAGCTGTTACAAAATATATTTTTTAAAAAAGCTAGAAGACTCTCCTGGAAGACACCATGTATAATGGATGTGCTTTAGGCAAGAGCATACATAATCCACATTATCCAAAAAAAAGAAGAAAAAAAACACACACACACACACTATCTTTGCCTTTGGTTTAGTCTTCAACACTTTTATGACCATGTGGAACTGTTTTTTAGAGCTAAAATGCTGGGAGTCAGCTAAACAGCTTATTTTCATTTCTCATTTTCAGGACCATGGCTTTAAGAGCTGTTTACAGAATTATGACACACTCTCATTTATCTTTGCCTTGCTAACCAACTCATTTTGATCGAGGAGCAATGCACCCGAAGTAAGTGTTATTTACTCTAATAGACTATTAATGGAAGGTGTGCTTTACTTCAACAAGCCTGTAATGTTTTCCTCTGATAGAACAGCCTGGCTAAGATTATATCTTCATTGCTAGGCTGTTAGTTATGCAGGATTTCAAAACATTCTCTATAACATATCTATGTGAGTATATGAAGCTCTTTGTTCACAAAATTATTAGCACATTACCATGTCCATTTATACATATTTTCTATGCATTTATAACATCATCTTTGCTATTTGCAACATATAATGTTCATATGCAACATATAATGTTCAGTAGCAAAAGGTTCACCACTCTAAAAGTTCAATATCCCAATTTTCTGTTATAAACAGTAAAAAACTCAATTTTGTACAGCTCCAAAAAAATAAACTAATCAGCAAATTATTTGACAAATAAGTACATGTTCATGCGCTTGTCATAAGATTTAATAATACTCCTGCTGGTGTTGTGTGTAATATCTAAGTTTAAAACCTTATGAAGAAGGTTTTGGTTGATTTCTTTTATATTAAATCACTTAGTACACCTAATTTCTAACAGATTCCATGTAATATAATGGAAACAGTGCTCTGATCCCAGTATGAATTAATGAACCACTGTAACACCCCACAACATGCTCAGAATATTTTATTTGTTGCTGCTTTACTCCTATGGAGGGAAAATGCTGTAATTCCATTACTTATGCTATAATTGCAAGTGATGCATAAAATTAGTTTTGGTTTGGTTAAAGAGGGAGCCTGTTCCATGTGACTCAGATATTAAGGAAAGCCATGCCCTGTTATTTAAACTGAATTGTAAGCCGTAACAAAGCATAAATTGCCGATTCACATAACTTGTGTACAATTAAATAGGATACAGTTTTACATAGAATGTTTTGTTTAGTCATTTACAAAATATTATATTAATGTTACTACAAAATTCTTCTCATGGAGAACATTTTCTCTTGGAAGTGCATTCAAAGCTAAAATTCTGCAATGCCTGAGGAATTAAGATTGCAGGACTCTTTGTTGGAAGCTGAGCAGCTTGAATGGAAATCTGCAAGTAATTGTCTGTTTTTAACTGTCAAGCAAAGGTATGATGTGAGCTGTTTCTGTACTAATGCTAATTCATTTCCTATCTAAATTTATAGTCTTGTTCTACAGTGCAACTTAATGTTACCCTCAGGTCCTGATGTGGCTACCCGCTGAAGAGACCCCCTCTGTGGGGAGGGAATATTGGTTATTCAGAGTGCACATTAGTGTCATTTTTTGAACCTGAAGCTCTTGTTGTACAGCTGCACAATCGCTTATACTTATGAAAACAAGAACATGTAGTGTAAATTAAAAAATGCACTAAATGTCATCATAGATACAAGTTACAGTGTAATCTTATTAAGTATATTAAGTATAAAAGAACGATTCCTTTGAGCACCTTTAAGGGTTCTGGCATTTCTCTCTGGGGGAAACAGACCTGTGAAAGTTTTATGTAGAACCCTTAGACTGGAGATACTGAGGACATGTCCCCATCACATTTTGATATGTCCTTTTTATCCCCACAACTTTTTTTTTTTAATATAAAATTGCTGAGAAAGTTCAGAAACTGATTCAGTAGCCTTTTAAAAAATCTGTTTAACACTCTTCATGGTCTTTAGTTTCTCAGGGTGTCTTATGACTGTTAGAAAATGTCTCCTCTGTGATTAATTTAAACTCTCACATCTGGATGGCTATAAATGGACACTGAACGAGTGATTGTCTGTCAGATTGCTTTTCCTATGAACTGAGATGTCTGATAATGATATGATTACATTATTGTATCATGAATTTGTTTACAGAAAATGACAATCATTATGTTATACACATGTAACCAAGCTGAAAGTTAAGAGTCTTGCTTAAGGACCCAAGCATGGCAGTTTGGCAGTGCTGAGATTTGAACCCAGACCTTTTAATCTGTAACTAAAAGCCTCAACCACTGAGCCACCAATAGCAGCTCATTTGACCTACAGTGTGTCAACCAGTTCTACCACTGAATTAAGTCAAACAAAAAGACTGCATTGATCAGTGCAGGGTAGTTGTGCTAGTTGTGGTGGCTCAGTGGCTAAGGCTTTGAGTTACAAAGCCAGAGGTTAGGTGTTCAAATGCCAGCCCCACCAAATAGCCATGGTTGTGTCCTTGACCAAAACCCTTAACCTTCTGCTCAGGTGTATACTGTACACTTTGTTTAAAAGCATGAGCAAATCTACTGGATTTGTGTGTTACTTTATACTATGTAAGATATTACAATAGTTTACTGTAAATGTATTTACAGTACTTTATTGGCAACCCTGTTCCCAGTAAATTACTGGAAAATTTATAGCCAGTTTTTCACAGTGTAGCATATGTAACTATAAAGTGAAATTTACTTTATATGCTGCAGCCAAATTTAATCAGCCTACAGGATTGCACTCTTTGGTTTTCATTGTTGGTGATATAAACCATAAAAACAAATTGAAAAAAATTTTTTTTTTAAAGGACTTCAAAAGCATCTTTCATTTCATGATTGCTGGAAATTTAAAAATGTTTTTTCCCCTGAGACATACTTGATACAGTAAAATGCTTCAGAAGGCTTTAATTGTGAATTCGTCTGATTTTTAATTGATAATGCCAGGTTTTTTCTGTCATCATTCTTGTCCCCAGCACTTTAAAATAAAATTACATCCTACTTAAACTTGAAGCCTTATTTGCTGTTTGCTACCAATTTTTCATTTAGACTAGTCTAACACTGCAAAGAATCTTGGGAGCAAAACTGTCCAACAGCTGGTCCTTTCAATAAATGCCCTGTGAAGCAATTGTTTTTCCGCACTTCAGTTTGGAACAGGTCTGCAAACAGTCCCGGGTTTCAATTATTTCATTTGGACTGTGCTTTGCTTGGGCAAAGTGCCCAGCATCACTGGCTCTTGTGTGTGTTCTGTCTAGAGTTAGAAAAGAAAATAAAGAAACCAGTTTTAATTATTTACAGCTTCCAGCTTCCCTGTACAAAGTTTAACCGCACAAGCAGAAGAACATACTCAAACACATTGTCTTCAGTGTACTATGACATTTGTGCCTTAGATTTAATCTGAAGGATCTGCTTAAGTTAACGCTCGATGCGTAAGGCATGTTTTGCTATTTGGTCGTTGTTTTAAACATATATAGTTTCCATGGAACTTTAGTACACAGTCAGAGCACATTGTGTAGCATTTCTAATGTTGGTGTTTCCTCATACGGCACACACAGAAACAGGCCTTTGGGGATGCGTTTAATGTGTCCATGGAGACGACATGCAACAGGTGCAAACCCAGCTGCTTCACATGAACTAAGAGAAAGACCCCTTTGAACATCCTTCAATGTTATAGCACAAATATAACAGGAAGCCAATTCTTCTGACCATACTTCAAAGGGAGCATGATGAAGGCACTATTGAACACCTAAGCATAACTGACACACACAGGTCATGCCCCTGAAATAGATATGCACCGCTGCAGACGTGTAGCATGCATTATAATGAGATTATAAATAATAGCATGTAACTGAATACAAATGCATTATTCTGAACGAAATGATAACGTGTTCTAAACAGATACAAATACAGATATGAATAGCAGTTGCACTATTCAGAAAGGTTCACATGGCGTCTGTTTGAGACTAGAGGTTTGCATCTGCGTGGCGCATCAAAAAATCATGTGAGTGGTCAGATATGAAGCTTGTGGAGGAAAGCAGGCAGTCAGATATGAAGCTCATGAGTGAGAGAGAGTGGTCAGATATGAAGCTTGCAGGACAAAGAAAGACCACATACTGAAATCTATTTATATAACCTATTATTTTCTTGCACTTGTTCTTGCATGTTTTTCATTTTAGATTCACACAGTATACTGTATACAGTACACATCAGAAAAATCCTGTATGTTAGGAAAAGATGTCAGTAAACTAGTGTCATTAAATGACATTAAAATTTGAAATTTTGAAAAATTTGCACATTTGAAAAAATGAGTTGAATAATCAGGTTGCCAGATCATGTCTCACAAGTAAGGGTAGACTATTCTTAATCCAACTGATCTGACCTCAGATTTAACTCCCTTGGAGGGGTTAGACAATAGTTTGTGCTGTGCTGCTCTCATGCAAGATTAAAAAGGTGTCTCTTTCAGTCCACTGTACACAGGCTAAGCTCAAATGAAGTTTGTACTTCAAGTGTTGATTAATTTATGCAAAAGCCAACATCTGGCCAACGTTCCACTGCAACTCAGGGCACCACACACTCAGTTTATTATTCATGAAGACAGATAACAACAACAATATAGTTTAGTCTGAGAATACATTTGAAATCAAAGGCCATTTTCTTATACAGGACACGTTGAATTATTGTGAATTATTTCGAAAGTGAAAGCCCGGTCATACTGACCATGACATACTGTACATTGTTAATTTTCTAAATTTAAATACAGTTAAATGTTACTCATGTGCAGTCTTTTCAAACCACAACATAAATGTAACTAATTGTAATAGTCACTTTGAATATTTATTATGCATTTATGTTTTGCCTGCTGATAGAATCATGGAATTATAAGATGTCATTTTTGCTGGAGAGGCTGGTATAATTATGCTAGCAGGGCTAAGCCCTCCGTCTTCAAAAGATAAAAAGACATCAATATAATGTTTTATTTATGGCATCCACATCAGATTGTTTGCTGTTTAACAAACATTTTAAAGTGGATTAGTTGGAATTTTAGTGGAACTGAGTGCAACAGCACCACCCATGATTATTAAAAAAAAAAATAAAATACACTGAATGATATTCAATTCAATTCAATTCATTTTTATTTGTATAGCGCTTTTTTACAAAGGTCATTGTCTCAAAGCAGCTTTACACAAACAAAGTAAAATGAAGTGCGTGTGTGTGATGTCTCTGATGAGCAAGCAGGGCGACGGTGGCAAGGAAAAACTCCCTGAGATGGTGATAGGAAGAAACCTTGAGAGGAACCAGACTCAGCAGAGAACCCATCCTCATATGGGTTTACACTGTAGTGCACGTGTGTGTGTGTACAAAGTGCGTTTGTGTAGTCCATAGAAAACAGCTGAAGCGTCTTCGT